TTTTTTTTTTTTTGTTTCTTTTTGTTCTCTACATCACAGTTTTATGAATCTTACCGTTTTATTTGGTGAAATTCTGTTACTACTTATTCATTGAGCTGGTCATTAGATTCTTATAATTTTAAGATCTTCGCTTTTCTAACAGAATAATTGAAGTATCAGTAGAGCTATCCATGACTCGAATGATACAATTGAGACAAGTCTCTTTCCTGTCTGTTTGCAGAGTAAGAGGTCATGCTTTCCAAAATTGGACGCTATCAAAAGTGCAACTGCAGATATTGTGAGGCTCAATTTTCCTGTTTGTTTATAATTTTTTTTTTCCTTTTAAGTTTGTTGTTTCAAAATTTTGTTTTAACCATAAAAAATGAATAGTGTTGGATTTAAACTAGCTCTCAGCTTATTGGAGGTTGGGTTGCAGGCCTCTACTATTTTAAATTTTTTGGTGTTAATAAAGTTGCCTTCGGTTTATAGCTTACAGGTCTTAAAAGGCTGCCTGTGAAACTAACATGGTACGGTGAAGATTGTTCAACTGTGGAAATCTCGGGACTCGATATTGGATGGGGACAGGTAATTCTAAACGGATAGTCTGTGTTCTATAATTTTATATTAGATGAATTTAGTTGTCAAAAGGAAATGAAAGGAAAAAAATGTGGAAAAAAAGGTCTTGCTCTGAAAGTCGTATTTTCTTTCCTTATAGAAGTCTGACACATCACTTGAACTAATAAATCTGATGTTGCAGTTTGATATTGACCTATGGGTACGTAGAAATTACTTAGTTTAATTTCCGAGAGGTGGTTTTGGCTGAATTTTTTAGACCTATTCTAACTAATGCATCCTGTGTGTTCTTAACAGAGAATATCTTTGGCCTATGACGAAGAACATGGTTTATGGATTCTTCATAGAGAACTGCCTGTAAGTGTATTTATTAGATCTTGTGGTTTTATTTTTTATTTTTTATTTTTTATTTATTTTTTTCTCTTTGCTCGAGTTTGGAACCCTAGAAGTTGAAATTTGTTTTGTCGCTACTATATCTTTCTTTTGCTAAATAGACTAATGATCGTAGTATTTGGTCTTTTGCTAAGATAACTTGCATACATATTGCAATGTTATTGCTTAGTGATTTTTCATCATATTGAAATGACAAATTTGGTTAGTGATTTTTCATCATATTGCAACGACAAATTTGCTTAGTGAAATTTCAAATAGATTGTTAACTTCGATAGAAAATTATTTATTTGCTTTGTTACATGAACAGGAAGGGCGTTATGAATATAAGTACATTGTGGATGACAAATGGACTTGCAACGAATACGAGCTTGTAACTAGTCGGAACAAAGATGGACATGTCAACAACTATGTCGAGGTACTTTGTATAGAGTTGTTCAGTAAAGCAAATTAAGAAGTTAAATGTTATTTGCTTTAGTTATTTTTAATCTTATTGCAATGACAAATTTGCATATGTTAAAAATTTGATCACTAACTATATTATGATATACACATGCACTCAAACTAGTTATAATCATGTTTGATTACTGAACAGAGCTATATATATAGACCATGCTTTGTATTATCTCATGCAAATCACATTATTTCTCTTTGCCAACTCATGTGCAGGTTCTTGACGATGACCCGAGCAGCATTAGCGCTTCAATTAGGAGTCGGTTAGCCTGTGACGAGCCTGAACTTTCGACAAGTGAACGTCTCATCATTAGACAGTTTATCGAAACTTACTCGGATGAGGATTAATTGAAAAACAATAATGGTAAATCATAAGTGTTGTGTACTTATAATGCTTGTATTAAACGAAAAATGAATGCAATAATTCTATCATTTTGTAGATTGGCTTGCTGCCATCATACGTGACATAGCTTTAGCTTCATAGGGTTACATGTCGCATTTAATGCGTGTTTTTTCTATTTAATGCTTGGTGTACTGCCCGATGAACTATAACCGAACCACCCTTACTATAAATAACCATAGGAATCAACTGTAAAAGGAGTCAGAAAATTCTCTGCACTTGAGAAATTAATTCTCCCATTAAATTCAATATTAAGCGCGAACACCCGAGCTCATCATCAAAATATCCGACCTCGTTTTCACTTGTTTCTTCACATATATAGCAAATCATACCGAATTAAAGTAGACTAAACAACGTATTAGCATTACTAATTCATCATTATTGGTTGATCAAACCCGTAGTGAAATAAATATCCCGGCTATATTCAAACTGTTATTTTTACAGCCCTACTTTAAGACAAGGAGAGGATCTTTTGTCGGGAAGAGTCGATGCTACATGTGG